GTGCCTGTGACCAGCGAGCGGGTCCGAAGTCGCAACCACAGCGGGCACAAGATCACCCCATACCGTCACCCTCCCCCCATTCCCGAAGAAGTTCGTACCCAAGCCCGACCGGTCGTCGAGAAATGTCTGGACGGCATCCTCGGTCTCCACGACCGCCAGAAAAACATCGACGCCTCCCTGCGACACCTAGAGAAAAACAAGCTCAGGATTGCAGACGAGATTCGCACGGAAACTCAAACTTGGATCGCCGCCATCTTGGCGAGACAAGACGAGCTCCTCCGTTGCCTTGACGACCGCACGGAGGAACAAAAGTCGGAAGTTGTCAACGGAAGGCGAAAAGTCCAAGCCAAGATAGCGGAAATGTCCACCCTTTGGGAACAGATGGATGACAACTTATCAAGTGGAACTTTTTCGGCCGAACATTGCGATCAATCGGTGAATGAAATATATGGACAAGAAGAAGATATTACTGGGAAAGAAAGTCAGCCTATCGTCGCATTTATCCCCAAACAACTTCCGAGTGGTGTAGTCATAGTAGGGGAGCTTGCATCAAGTATTCATTGACTTAGTAGAATATTAGTTTTGCTGAGTTCACAGGATTCACAGGACTGATGATAGCATCACCGTGTGAACACAGACGTAAAGCAAGTAAAAACGTATAGTATGCAGTGGTAGAAATATAATAATTATGATAAGGGACCAATTGCAAAATAGTTGATATGAAGATATAAAAATGTGTCAATGCGCCGCAACATCGTTTCTCTGCCAATGGGCGCCGTAATTTTTGTAGTTTCAATAACGTCGAACATTCTTGAATACTATTATTTGGATTTTGTTTAGGTGTATATGGTGTCGAATTGCTTGGATTGTAATAGACTTTGTTAAAATTAAGGTAATGGATGTATCTGTGGTGTCATTAATAATCAGCCCTTGATCTCATACCTTTTCTTGAATACTTGAATTTTAATTTGTAAGAAATTAAAATTTTAGGTGCCAAATTTTTTGTCCAAATACTACAACGTTACACGTCTGTTCACAAGGCAAGAAGACTTACGTATACACAAAATGCTTCTTTAAGATTATTGACTTTATTGTTAAGACGTTGACAGCTTTGTATTGAAGAATCTTAATAGCAAGCTTGTCAAATTCTGTTGTCATAGATCACTTACATGTCAAAATACACCTCTAATGTATGATTTTATCAAATAACAACAATCATAACAACCTAGTAAAAACAGAAAGCTTTGTTGGCCAACGTATACTTCGTGTATGGCTTTTTGCAATATCCTGGTTACCAAATCTATTCTAGCTGCTGAGTCTTGCGGTTAGGACGAAAGAGACTCGGCAGCTAAAATATATTTAGTAACTAGGCTACATTTCTACACTACAAAGTGTAACCATATACCGTACTAGTATCTTTAATACATATAGTATCTTTCAACATTGTGGAACAGTAACGTTCTTAGCCTGGTATCCAGCCTTGTTAGCTTTAGTCCGCTACCCAAGATCCGCTCCCCGCGGATCTTGGGTAGCGGACTAAAGCTAACAAGGCTGGATACCAGGCTATAACGTTCTATCTCGCGTACATGAATTCAATTTATGTCCTGTCCTCAGGAGCAACGGAACAATGTGAATGTAATACACTGCGTTTTAATGGACAATTGATTCAATTGTGTGCCCTTATTGCATATTTTTGCCTTTACAAGACGACTTTTAAACACAGCGTAAAATTTCCTTTCAAGATACTAGTAGGTGAATCGTCCGCCATCTTAGTGGTAGGAGGAAGCAGGATGGCGTCATAAAACCCTAACCAATGGGAGGGTCTGTAGGCTGCACGTGACGTCACAAACGCCATGCGGTTTGATGGTTGAACCTTGAATCACGCCTACCGATTTACATGTGTAGAATGTGTATTTAATCGTTACATGACTGAAAATATACGACTACACATTGAAATCTACATGGCAGCTTCCAGCTTTAACCACCCAACATGGCGGACAGTACTTACGTCATAGTCACGTGAATGCAAACACCTATAGGATTTTGAAGAGTTCGGGCTTCCTGCGGACTCCCTCGACGAACTCTTTGAGCTGTAGCTTCCCGTCGTGGTCGATGTCCAGTGAGTTGAAGATTCCCGTGATGAGTTCCTCCTGTTGAACCTCCATTTGCCGGGTCTCCTCTTCGGGTGCGCCAGGGTTCCGCAGTTCATTCATCAACTGAAGCAGAAACCACACAAACTAGAAATTTAACATGTGCAAAGCAAATGCATAATGTTAACCATCGCATATGGTCTGCTCCGTTGATTCTTACTCATACACATTCATATATATATATGGTCATACAGGAGTCTAAATCCCTCCTGCTATAAAATTGCAACATGATGTAACTCAACACCAGTTACCATGGTGACAGACGTCTGGTTCAGGTTATTGACCTTATTGGTTTGGACAAGAAGAGGGAACAGAGCAAAGCCAATATGTTTTCCTTCGGTAAACATAAATATGGCGGGGGTGCACCAAAACGTTTCTCTTTTTTTCTACAGCTATCATTTTAGCCTGGTATGCGGTCTATCGTGCTTGGGGAAGGCTGTCTTTCCTCTAGCCCAGCTCAACAAATTCAACGTTTCTTCTGAGCGAATTCGGAATGGTTTTAAAGTACATGTATGCAGTTTCATCCTCCATACTACCCACAACCCAAAACATTTTGTAAGTCAGAACACACTTCTTATAAACGTCAAGCAACAGAATTCCAGATTCTATTTTACCACAGATCAAACGTTAAATGTCGCTATGGCAGCCACGAGCGAGATACGTAAGTATGTAAGTATTGCTCTCCGAGTGCACCAAAAAGGATTCTGGCAAATTCTCAATTTCAATCGACCGTCTACATGGCCAAACGACGAGATACATCGCTAGCTCTTTCGCCAAATGGCTGGAAGCACAACTTGGTTTTAGTTTCAAACATAAATCGTTGTCTCTTCTTGTCGCTTTCCGCTTGTCGAAATGCCGGCGTGTTGGCCATTAGGCCACAGCAAATAAATTTTATGGATGACATGGACCACAGACTCCAAATCTAATGCGATAGGGTGAAAAAAACAAGGCGGACCAAAAAAAAAAAGATTCCTACATTTTCAAATTTTGACATCATAAACCCTGCCAACTATTACAACATCTATTTCTCACTAAAACAACTTTGAAAAATACAAGTTTTCAATCATTGTACAAATGGTTTTGATACAGTGGGAACATCACTTATACAGAAACGACAAAACATTAAATCAGAGTCCTGTCTTGTCTCCTCTCTTCATATATTTATCTGCTATCCACGTTCCGGCATGGCAACAGACATCTTTGCCCATTTTTGGCATGTTGACCACTGTCAGAGGACAACAAAATTTCTTCTTTTTTTTTCAAAAATCAGGCGAAAATTAATGCGCGCGCTGATGTCATCCATAAAAATGACTTGCTGTGGCCTTGTGCCTAAGTACCTCCGGCAAGGCCGTCTGGTGAACTTGTAAATGGGCGACGGTAATAGTTTCCCGTACGGAGCCGTCAACGTCGAGAAACTGCAGCTGTCAATCATGTCGAGCGTTGCCTAGCAACGTTTCAAATGATGTCATTAAGAACCAGTAAGGATTGCGGGATTTAGTGAAACTTCACTTTAAGTAACAAGCGCTGTCTGGGATACAAATTTACCGTAAACAATATAGTTTTAGTGAAACTTCATTTTAACTTACCAAGCGCTTCAAATTTACCGTAAACAATGTAGTGCTAGTGGCTAGTGGCTCTACAATCCACACTAACAACTTAGATGGTGTATTTGATATTTTAGAAGATGGTATTTGATTTTCAAAACCTCCATACACAGAGTTAATGATAAAAGCGGTATAGCATGTGGGTTTGTGACTGCTTGTCTGATATAGTGACTGGCAAGAATTTTTGCATTTTTACCTGCGACCGAGCGAGGTATTCAGCCTTGCCCTTGTTTATTTGTCACAGAAATTTATTATCACCAGTAATAAATGGACGTCGAGTAGAATCATCTAAGGACACCCAAAAATACATGCACAACTGCAGGGATAAAGAACTCTCCCTGGACCTAGCCCCAAGCACCGCATAGGAACAGCCAGATGGCACCTCATGCGCCTAAAGAGCATGATAAGTATGGATGGGTGGATGGATGGATGGATGGATGGATGGATGGATGGATGGACGGACGAACGGATGGATAGATAGATGGATGGATGGATGAATGGATGGACTGACGAATGGATGGATGGATGGATGGATGATGAATGGATGGATGGATGGATGGATGGATGGATGGATGGATGGATGGATGGATGGACGGACGGCTGGATGGATGGATGGTTGGACAGATGGATGGATGGATGGACGGCTGGATGGCTAGACGGATGCATGGATGGATGAATGAATGAATGAATGAATGAATGAATGAATGAATGAACGGATGGATGAAGGAATAGATGGACGCAGAGATGAATGAATGAAACAAGCTTTCAATGACACAAAGCACTGTGCCAATTACAAAAGAACGACGGAGCCATAGTTAAGAAAACCTACGTTTCCAAAATTTTGTGCCTTGTTCAAACCAGTCGCTCTTTTGTCGAGTCAACGTGCCATTTGTTGCGGATAGCAGGTTACTCATTAATTGTGATTTATATATTGCCCCGGGCATTCTCATTGATATCAATACCACTTGTAGGTTTTATTTGTGTTTTATTTATGATAGTTAGCTGCGAAAGCACTTTAGTGAAAGACGCCAGTGGAGAATTACAGAAACTTATCTCTGTCCTTAGTGCTGAATGACGTTCCCAGGAGGATCTCTACACGTTTGTGGTGAAGAACGATAGTCGTCTGGACATTTTTCTTTCCAACAGTTTACCTGGATGTACTATGGCTGTGTTTTTCATAAAGGTACATTTGTAGGGTCGTGTGGCGCAACGACAGAGCGTTCTGCTCGGAGACAAGAGGTCCCGAGTTCGAATCTTGACATGCCAACGATCTTGTGCCCTTGGGAAAGGCACTTTACCCGAATTTCCTCACTTTACTCAGGTGAAAATGAGTATGTTGTCCATGCGTTCATCTGCGTTGGTGGCAACATGAAAATAAGTTGAAGAAACGTTAATTTCTATATAAGATATATTTCCTCGTCCTGAATATTTTTATTTTGCCCCCTCTAAATAGCATTGGACGCCTTTTAGTCATTTCAGTTCGCAATTTAGCCATCATGTCGGCGTCTGCTACGCTTGTCCAAATGACTCTTCCAGACAGACTTGTGCTATCTCACAGAGACAGAAACCTGTATCTCTCTCTACAGATTCTCTTTTATTTCGCGACCCGTCTACACACTTTCGTTAAACGCTTACAAATCTGCGGCTTCATGAAACGACAGCGTGAAACTAAAACTGACGGGACGAGTAACGTAGTTTGGATTTATTTTCTTACTTCGTAGCACGCCGAAGATCAGAAAGCGTTCGCTATCACGACCCTCAAACGGTTTTCTTCGATTTTTTTCAGCTGCAGACGTTTTGGGATTACATGTGGGGGCACAGACGTGGAACTCTTGGTGATATTTGTATGTGCTGGGGTGAAATATTGCCCTCTCCTTGCGTTATCTTTCTTCCACAACCTGACAGCTTTGAAGTAAGCACTCCTTCATAACCTTAAGCAAACTATTTTCAGACCTTGCGGCTTAGAGTGTCATTACGATATTTCCCCGTGCCTTTTGGCTGTAATTGGACGATGTACATAAGAGGAACCTTCTCGTTCTAGCTTAAATCCTCTCGTGTTATCACATACTTTCAGTTTCACGGTGACGTAAGTGAGTTGGTTCTTTTTTTTTCTAGTTTGTTTCTATATCTGTGACCTATGGTAGTTGTACGTGAAGTGGGAGATATTTTTCTTCATTTTCTGCACGCATTGCTTTATGAAGTATGAAAGTGGCGTCTTATGTACTTATCACCAATCACAGATGTTATAAATTGTTCTGCAGATAAAATATTGTGTAGATCTCTACACAAACGCATTTACACGTGACACACGCTACGATGTGGCCAAGTACAAATTTGTTCCTACACTACTCCCAATACTACTTTAACAAATGACTATATATGTTGGTATTGTTTGATTGGTTGGTTGGTTGGTTGGTTGGTTGGTTGGTTGGTTGGTTGGTTGGTTGGTTGGTTGGTTGGTTGGTTGGTTGGTTGGTTGATCGATTGGTTAGTTAGTTGGTTAATTGATTGTTTAGTCGATCGATGGTTGGGTCGATCGTTGGTTGGTTGGTGTTGGTTTATTAATTGATCGATTGGTTGGTCGGTCGGTCGGTCGGTCGGTCGGTCGATTGGCTGTTTGGCTAGTTGGTTAATCTACTGTTTATTTGATCGATAGACTAGCGTATATTTGGGGCTGCTATTCTACAATGATTACAGGCACTACTTGGAAAAAGTATGGCGAGTCTGCAGTTTAGGGCCAATGCCATGTAGTTGAACAACGCGTTTGCAAGAATAAGAAGGGAAATCAAACACTTAGAAACCTCTGCAATCTCAGATTGTGTCACTTCAATTCAGAACAACATGCACACTGGTAAAAGCCTCTACCAAGCTTCGGAAGCGGCTGGAAAAAGAAGAAATTGGCCAAATAGACAGATAGCATGCCAGGGGCGTTGGGCGGTAAGGAGAACATTTGGCCCGCACAGAGACAAACTCTCTTGGCATGTTATCTATTCTGTTATGACCACGTTCTACTCTTTCCATCCACTTCTGCAGCCTGGTAGAGGCTGTGTTAATAATACTGTCGTAAAATGTTCATTTCTGAATACTGTTAGTCTATTTTGTCTACAGATATAATACTGACAACATTTGAAAGAAAGTCTAACGGTGAATAAACAAAATACACCAAACTCACCATCAACACATTCAGCAGCTCTCTCTTCGTGACCTCTCCGTTTCCGTCCAGATCGTACATTCTGAAGGCCCACTTAAGTTTCTCCACCTTAGATCCCCTTAAGAGCGCGCTCATCCCGCAGACGTACTCGCGAAAGTCCACCGTCCCCGTCGCGTCGTGATCGAACGCGCGGAAAATCCTCTTGGCGAGAGTCGCCTTCTTCTCTCGGCACCCGGTGCGGAAGAAATCCACATAGAACCTCACGAACTGCTGCTCCTTCAGCAAGCCGTTCGGACAGTCCTTTTGGAAGAGTTTGTAGAGATGTTTGATCTCGGATTCTCGGAAGTTGGTGGTACGAGTCAGGTCTGATATGAGTCTGTCGCGCTGTTGTTTGGACGGGCGCGTGCGAGCTCTTCGCGGCCAGCCCCACACTTCTCTATCGTGGTTAATAGCCAGACAGTCTAGGTACGACCCTGAATCGTTACCACAGTACGTGTTGCAGTATTCACACGTTAGTCCCGTTCTCGTTTCTCTGACTTTGTGTTCCCTACAGATGCCCACCGAGCAGCCCATCTTCAGAAACCTGCTACGTTCTGGTACTTAGTCCCAACAGGTGTGGACGTTACGCGAAAACTAACGTCCGGGGGGAGAACACATGTGTTAGCGCCGTCAAATCTGACGTAGCTTCCGGTTGTGCAATTCTAACGTTAGGCCACAGCAAGTAATTTTTATGGTAACAGCAGCGCGTATTAATTTTTGCCTGATTTTGGAAAGAAAAAGAAAGTTTGTTGCCTTCTGACAGGGGTCAACATGCCGAAAATTGGCAAAGATGTTGCTATTCCGGAACGTGGATGGCATAAATATGAAGAGAGGAGACAAGGCTCTGATTTAATGTTTTGTCTTTTGTCAAGGCCTGTTAGAGGCTACACATACATGCAATTTCGTAAGACTGTTTTAGATAAGAATACCGTTATTCCTTCTTGCTGCACGTATGCAAATGAGGGGAAAACCAATCAACCAGCGTTAGGAAATTCGTATTCAAACTGTATACGTCATTCGGCACGTAACCTTGAATCTAACGTTAACCTCCCAGGTCAGTCACTAACAACGCCCTTGTCATTTACTGGTCATTCTTCTAATGTAGTAAGTTCAATGAACCCTACTCCATAGCATACTGGTATCTGTGAGAGAAAATACGATACTGTTTCATATTGCAGTCTGGTTCTAGCTATTTATTGGTGGTACCCAAAAATAAAGAGAACCATCCCGTAGCTTGTTTTTAGTCTACTTCAAACGCTTCAAGTATGAAATGATGACGGAAATGTGTTAAGAAATGGCAGTAAATATCAATATGATACAGATTTCCTCATATCCAGAATATTTTTGCTTTGCCACAAGGAAATTGCATCGGATGCGTTTAACATGATAACAGGAAGGCTGCGAAAAAGGGTGATCTATTTCTGTTAGAATGTTAAAACGCGAGCATGGTGCATGAGACTACCATTAGCATCAGTGGTAATGGGAAATGATGTGCGGAGCCACCCTGACCTGGAAGGAAGGATGCGAGGTTAACGACAGCGGATGGACCATAAATCAGCTGCTGAGGCTGAGAGTGGCGTCTGAAGTAGTTTGGTAATGGGTAAAACCGCGTCACACACATTGTAGCCGAATATAGCTTCCCAAACACTAGCCGAACTCCCCCTAACTGAGTGGTCCGTGATGATGATCACGGCAAACTCAAGTTATATCAACTTATTTATGCCGCCAACGCAGAGGACAAATACAGGACAGACAATACTCATTTTCACTAAGTTAAGTGAGGAAAGTCGTGTAAAGTGCCTTTCGCAGGGGCACAAGATCGGTGGCATGTCAGGACTCTTGGTTCCGAGTCGAGCACTCTGCCGTTACGCCACACGATCCCACAGGTTAGGAGTTGGTCGGGAGCAAGGTCGGCTATGGTCGGCCGGTGTTCGGCCTGGTCAGCTAATACTCAAAACATGGAGGTGTTTAAAACATTCGGGTGTGGACATGGGCGGTTCAGCCATAGTTGGCTGGTGTTCGGGAGTAATTCGGGACGTGGTTGGCAGTCAAGTGTGACTCAAATTTAACTCAAATTCTATTTGATTCGTACAGAAGGGTAGACGTGCAAGGCAAATCTGTTCAGACTACTCCCGAGCTTCAGCCAACCTTGGTCGGCTGGTGTTCGGGGGAAGACATATTGAATGTGTGACAGGGGCTTTAGGCTGGCTCTAGGCACTTTATCTATTTGAAAGTATTGCTTTGGGTGGTTGAGTTGTGAGTTTGTGTGGCTGTTTCTGAGAATCAAGGACAGAGTAGTTTGACAGCACGTGGGTTGGCCCTTCCCGAGCTGTTCACGTTTTGATTTATCTTGCTTTCCTGTGAGTGAATATGACCTGTGCATCTCACGGATCCTAACAGCCTTGGTCGAATCCGATTTGCTACGGGGCTCCTTGCACTCCCTGGCCCGGAATATTTTTATCCTAGTCTATCCTTGGTCTATCCAACTTCAAAACACTCAACGTGGGTGATGGATAGTTGTGCTTGTACATGAATGAATCAATTCTACAAACGGACTGTTCAAGAAAATCTGACTGTACATCATGACGTATAACCTGTTTCTGTTGGGTGTCATTTCTGCTATTCATCAAAACACAATCGATTGAAAAATGAAATGGCATTCCCTTTCGATCATGGTGTATTCAAACCATAATGCTGCTTCCTTTTATTTCCGTTTGCTCAAAGGCATTTGATACGCTGGGCCTTATACGTTAACTCAATATTCTAGAAGGAGTTCATTTTGTTTGTCGTATAAAAATAGGTAAAATCATTAAAGCATGTTTAGATGGAAGAAACTGTAGCTCTAGACGCAACATGACCTACTAAAATACCTTGACCTAGATTACTGGACAAACCACTGTACAGACATATCAAACCCGAAAGTGCAACTGCAGTACCTTAGAAATCCGTTAGAATGCCAATTTTCCTTACGAAAACCCCATCACAACACCAAAAACTGCCCTGTCTAGTCAAATTCCATTATATGGAAGTCGACGATGTTTAAAAAAAACGAAAACTACGCCCCGGTATTTATTGCACAAGTACCTGTGTCATGGTCAACGTTACTATTAATGAATTTGCCTCAAAACAATTGACGAGTACAACATGTACTTTGAATAGGTTGGCCACGATCCGGGGTAACGTAAACTTTGCTTTACCCCCCAATCATGGCCAACCTATTCAAGTCAAAAGTTTACGTTACCATAAGACTACAATGGGCCCTAAATCTCTTCTTAGCTTTCTGACACCAGGCATTTGCTGCTACTTTTATGCTGCTAAGCGTGGCTTAACAATTCTATCACGAACCGCGGCTTTCCGCTGACTAATCGATTTCAAAATGACCATGATTAATTAGTACATTTATCATTTTTATTATTTAGTACTGCATTTAATTTTAGAAGAAAGATATTTGACAATCTGGTAAAACAAAATGCGTCAATGTTTGTTAGCAGTCTTTTTGTCAATTCAGTTAGCACGCTTTTCCAAGACATATTTTCTTGGTACTAAAAATGGGATAAATAACTCAAGCCAACTGACCTTCGTTCCTTTGATTAGTTGTCGGTAAACAAACAACTCGAAGCGTTACTGACTCTAACGAGACTTAGTCTTGAACGCAGCACTACGTACGCGTAACAAGATGAAGAAACTTCTGGCGTTCGGAATCGGCAGTTCTTTTATCGGGATGGTGCTGTTGATAGTGGGGATAGCAACGGTCCGCTGGATGACAGCTGACTTCCTGATCTTGACCAGAGATCTCGGACTGTGGCAGTTCTGTGACACAAGCTCGGGAGTGACGGTCTGCGAATACTTTCGTAAGTGGCAGAATACACCAGGCAATATATGAATCTTACTTAATATTTTCATGACTCCTTTTCATGACACATTCTAGACTCAGCTAGCTTTAATTCAAACAACAAGTGTCAAGTTGCGGAGTTGTAGGGCCGTGTGGCGTAATGGTAGAGTCTGTCTCGGAACCAAGAGGTCCCGGGTTCGAATCATGTCGAGTCAGCGATCTAATGCCCTTGGTAAAGGCACTTAACACGAATTTCCTCACTTCACTCAGGTGAAAATGAGTATGTCTGCTGTTCGTTCATGCGTTTGTCTGCGTTGGTTGCGGCTAAATATAAGTTGAAAATATTGTGTGGCGTCGCCATGTCTTGTTATAAATGTTGGAATAGGAAAATATCTGCAGTATCCCGATTTCATTGCAATCACTAACAAAAACAAACGGAAGTTTCGACTGGTTTCTTAGTCTCTAACAGGCTTCGGAAGGCGACTGGAAAGAGAAGCAATTGAGTGATAGAGAAGTACAGGTTGCCGCAACGCTATTTGGTCAAGTTCTACTCTTTTCAGCGGCCTCCAGGCCCCTGGTAGAGGCTACGCTTTCTCCCTTCGTTATTTTCTTGCCGAATGCTCTGTGCCACGTCACAAGACCAGGTACAAGGTGCAGAATAGATGTTCCGTACAGAAGCCGGTTGCGATGACATCAAATAAAGTTGGACCCTGCAGCCGTTATGTACAAATAGACACAAGATTTAGTTCAATCACTACGGGAAAAGTTGGATTTATCAACGGTAGTGAATGCCATTGTATCCAAGCATTCTTTACATTGTAAACAGAGCCAAACAGTGGAAAGTCAAATTGCTGAACACAGCGTTTCTACATGTATGTGTCTGTTTGTGTTTCCGTACATTTATTTTTAGTTATCATAACTTCAGAACGCCTTTATGGATTGTGATGATATTTGGTAAGTCAGTAGGTCGTAGGAAGACAAGGTCAAGGTCAAATATGGGCCTCCTGGAGGCTGACCTTGGTACTTCAACAGAACTTCTGTATCTTTTGTCCAGAACATGCTATGGTCTTGACTATTTGGTGACAGATAGCTTTTCCGGCCATATTTTACACCCTAAGCTTTCTGATCCAATGGCTTTACAAGTCTATGACAAAACCTACAGCGCAATATATTCTTCTTTTCCATGTTCCACGCTGCAGAAAATGTAGTAATATTCTTTTGTTTTTTGCAGCTATGGGTCGTTTGAGCCGCAATGAGCATACCTTCCGTGCTTTCGCCGTGATCGGAGCAATATTGGCCCTCGCCGGTGTAGGTACGGCTATTGGCGGCGGGAGTACCGATGCTGATGGAGGCAAGAATGGCGGCGGTGGCATCATGATTGCTGCAGGTATATGATGAACAGATTATTGCAAACACAAAACCCACTCATTATGCAGAACATAGGACTATTCATTATCCACTGCCTTCAAAGAAGAACCCAAGAGGTTCCGAGTTCGAATCCTGCCATTCGAATCTTGTATCATTGTGAAAAGCACTTTACCCGAATCTCCTCACTTTACTCAGGTGAAAATGAGTATGTCTGTTGTTCGTTCATACGTTTGTCTGCATTGGTGGTGGCATAATATATGTTGAAAAAAATCGAGTGTCTCGTAATAAATGTGGAATAAAAAAAAAATAATGAAATACCTCTGAGTTGTGTATT